AAAAAAAATTAGCTGGGCATGGTGGTATGCGCTTATAGTTCTAGCTACTTGGAAGGTTGAAGAGGAAGGATAACCTGAGTCCAGTAGGTCAAGGCTGCAATGGCCATGAGCGTGCCACTGCACTCCAGACTGGGTGACAGAGTTCGACTCCAACAAAAAAAAAAAGGAGGAAAAAAAGAGTAAAACAAGCAAATAAACTGCAATCTGCAAGAAAAAGGAAGGCAGAAGAGAGGATTAAGTATTAACACCCCTCAGGTTAAAGTAGGAATGGAGGGCAGGTACAGTGGCTCACACCTGAAATCCCAGCACTTTGGGAGGTAAAGACTAGAGGACTGACTGAAGTCAGGGGTTTGAGACCAGTATGAGTAACACAGCAAGCCCTCATCTCTACAATAAATCAAAAAAATTACCTGGATGTGGTGGCGCATGTCCATAGCTATTTGGAAGGCTGAGGCAGAAGGATCACTGACCCAGCAGGTCAAGGCTGCGGTGGCCGTGAATGTGCCACTACATTCCAGCCCAGGCAACAGAATGAAACTTCCACTCAAATAAATAAAGACTCCATACCATTTTAAGAAAGGGCTTTGGCCGGGCTCAGTGGCTCAGCCTGTAATCCCAGCTCTTTGGGAGGCCGAGGTGAGTGGACTGACTGAGCCCGCGGGTTCGAGACCCACCTGGGCAACTTGGCAAGACCTCATCTCTACAATAAATCAAAAATTAGCGGGGGCGTGGTAGTGCGTGCCTGTAATTCCGGCTACTCGGAAGGCTGAGGCGGAAGGATCACCAGAGTCCAGCGGGTCAAGGCTGCGGTGGCCGGGAGCGGCCACTGCACTCCAGTCTGGACAACAGAGTGAGACTCCGACTCAAAAAAAAGAAAAAAAAAGAAAGAAAGAAAAAAAGAGCGTTGGTGACAGATGGAGCAGGGTTCAAATCTCAGCTCTGTCATGTATCAGCTGTGTGATCTTCATTAACCTCACCTCTTAATCTCGGTGTTTTGTTTTGTTTTGTTTTGTTGAGTCACACGCAGCTAATTTTTTAATTTATTTTAGAGAGAAGGCCTTACCAATTGCCTAGGTTGGTCTCAAACCCTGAGCTCAGGCAATCTTTTCACCTCCGCCTTAACCTTGCCTCCGCCTCAGCCTCCCCAAGTGCTGAAATTACAGGTGAGCCGTATCTTTAAATTCCTCTCAAGATTAGCATAAGGAGAAAATGAAGCAATGACTGAAAAGGACCTGCTACAATTCCCTGATACAAAACAACCACCATTTGTTGAACACTTTGTATTATAATGGTAACATCCTAGCTGCCTCTCTAAATAGGTAAGAGCAACAGCCTAAGGGCAGAGAAATTTTCAGTAATATGTGAAAGTGTCTAAATACCTATTCTGCTAACACCTTGTTAGCCAATTTAAGAGTTCTAATTGCTTTCTCTCTGAGATTGGATCTGTCTAGCTCTCAGGTCATATCACCAGGATCTCTTGGGCCACAGGAGTGACCCCTGGAAGTTTTGAGTGTAGGACAAGCCTGCCTAGAATGACTGCCAGTACATTTCTCAATCACTTGAATCACCATTGGCATAATGACCACTGTTGCAGACTCAGCCTAAGCCTTGTGGCCACGTATATTGTTTGGAGAATACCAGTTTCCAGTTCTGGGTCCCCGGTACCTCCTTTTCTCAATCCAGCCTGCTTTGATCAAAAGCCCTGTCCTTTCCAATTTGTGGTACCCACCTGGGGCTGGATTTAAAATGGAGATGCGTGGCCACATATTGGCAGACACTCTCACATGATGGTTGTTAACTGTAGAACCTTTGCCTGGAGACTTTCAGAGGGTATGGTTACCATGACAACCACCAGAAAGATGGCAGGCCAGAAAAATGATGCAATTAAAGGAAAAGGAAGGCTGATTTTTATGATGACAATCTGACCATGACAGAGTATGCTCACTCACAGATGGGATAGCACTGTCCAAGTCATGAGCAGGTGACTGTTACTAGAGAGAGAAGGGGGGGTGGAATTTACCACCTAGAGACTAGGAGAGGAAGAGACTGGTTACCAAGGCAACTAGGAAGAAAGGAATGAAAAAATGGAGCTTCACCACAGCAGCAGAAAATTGCTTTCTAGCCAAGCAACACAGGACTGTTGCTATAGAAACAAGAACAGGGATCCTGCAGACCATGGGGAGAATTATCACTGAAATGCTGAGAAGGAAAGACTCCTAAATCAGAATGGAGCCTGTGGTCCAAAACAAATGAAGAGAAGAGAGAAAAACATAGTACCATTTCCATTAATTGTAATTCTGCCAATCCTGCCAAAAGAGAATGACAACATTTAAAAAAAATACTTTAGGCTATATTATTTGTAGTTCTGTTTGTCTCCCTAGTGATCTTCTGAACTCTTAATTATACTAAAAATAGTTCCTGAAAGATATTCTGTAACTTGAAATTGAAGACATTAAGACATTTTCAAGGAAAAATTATTGGGAAATTGAAGTCTATGACCAAGAGTTAATAAGTATTAACAAAAAACATAAAACTCTCTAATGGGAAGCATTGCAGGGTAATAAGGAGACAAAAGAAAGAGGGGGAGTCAGGAAAGCTATTTGTACTGACATCCGGACATTCACCCTGATCACTTCTCCCCTTTCTTTTTTTTTTTTTTTTTTTT